TGCAATATTTGTCCTTTTGTGACTGAGATATTTCACTCAGCATAATGTCCTCCAGGCTCACCTATTTTGAATAATAGTGCTTGAGTTCCTTGTTTTTCAGTGCAGCGTAGTATTCCATTGTGCACAGCTTCTCTATTCATTCATTTGTTCATGGACACCTGGGTTGTTTCCAACTCCTTGCTGTTGTGAACACAGCTGCGATAAACATGGGTGTGGCAAATACGTTTCTTTAAGAGACATAAACGCAGGTTATATACTTGGATTTCACCTGATGGTATGCATAGGAATCAGATCGATTACAGATGCGGAATGTGGAACAGACCACCAACTACTCATGCAAGTTCAAGCTGAAGCTGAGGAAAATTAAACCTTATCCACGGGAACCAAAATATGACTTTGAGTCTATCCCACCTGAATTTTAGAACCATCTAAGGAGCGGGATTGAGGCCTTGAACACTAATGAGCAAAGACCCGATGAGTTGTGGGAGGATATCAAGGGTATCATGCAGGAAGAGTGCAAATCGTCATTACAAAGACAGAGGAGGAAGAAAAGACCAATATGAATGTAAGAAGAAACTCTGAATATTGCACTGGAGTGCAGAAAAGCCAAAGCAGAAGAAAGAATTCAAGATACTAAAGAGCTGAACAGATCTCAAAAGGCAACATGGGATGTTGTTGTTGTTATATGCCATCGAGTCGTTTGTGACTCATAGCAACCCTGTGTACAATAGCCCTAAACCCTGCTCTATCCTGTGCCAATTGCACTGCTTCTGACACACCCATCCTGATTACCCCAGTCACTGAATCAGTCCACCTCATTGAGGGTCGTCCCCTCCTGTGCTGACCCTCCACCCTTCTTCCAAGCATGATGTCCGTCTCGAAGGACCTGTCCCTCCTTACAACATGTCCAGAGTATGTCAGACGAAGCCCCAGAATCCTTGCCTCCAAGAAGTAGCCTGGTTTAACCCTCTCTGGGGTGAATCTGTTTGTTTTCTTGCCAGTCCATGGTACATTCAATACTCTTCTCCAGCACCACAGCTCAAAGGCATCAATTCTCCTTCTATCCTCCATTGTCATTGTCTAACTCCCTGATGCATAGCAAGTAATTGCAAAGACCATGGCCTGTATCAGGCGCACCTTAGTCTCCAGAGAGACACCGTTGCTCTTGAGTACTTGAGAGAGGTCCCTAACAGCAGACTTTCCCATCGTAATACATTTTTTTTTATTTCCTGGCTGCTGGTGCCAAGAGTGTCGACCGTGGAGCCAAGCAAACTGAAGCTGAAACTGAACACGGGATGACAAAGTAAAATAGTACAATGAAATGTGCAAGGAGCTGGAATCAGAGAATCAAAAGGGCCAAACTCGTTCAGCATTTCTTAATGTCAAGGAACGGAAGAACAAATTCAAACTTCAAGTTGCTATAATCAAGGATGCTTTAGGCAGAATATTAAATGATCCAGGAAGTATTAAAAGAAGATGGAA